CATGTTTAGTATCCATACATTTGTATTTTGTAATTTCATCATTCTTGGAASATGTAATGCATGCATTATATTCACAGTCTATTCAGTGTATTATACGAGATGTAATTGAATTTGTTGAACTTAAAGTGARATTGTTTTAAAAAATTGTGTAGCTCATCACCCTTACTGTCTATACAAGTACAATGTAGGGTGCAACCCAACATGATTGGCCAACCCATATCCAATACGATGATGTATTGTGTACAACAACAAAATTAAACATGGGGAGGGAGGAGGGGGTGTAGGGAGGGGGTGTAAGGGGAGCTCATAGAGTACACATAGTCATATTTTCATGTGTGACAAAAAAATCACAAAAAAAAATAGTTCTCTCTTATTGTGTTTTATTACTATTAGTGATGTATTCATACAACACAAAACGTCTTTATTATTTTAATTGTACTTTTTATTTCTTATTCTTCTACTGACAGTTTAGTACAATCTAATATAACATTCTCTTACACACAATAGCAAATGTAGAAAAGTGGTAATCAAAACTTTGAAAAAAGCAAAAAATAAATTCTCATTTGATGACATTTATGTATAGCTATGACTATGAACTGGACTATAACTGTTCATTGTAGTGACTGATTCCTGTAATRTCTGCTGCTCATTGCAAAGGCTTAACTCAGACTACACTGTATGTTATAAATAATATGTTGTTATATATATTACTTTGTGAGATGAAGAATTCTTATAATAATTGACCAYTGGGCTCCTTTCCCAACCCCCCTAGTGTCACACCCCTACCCTGTGGGGAGTATAATATGTAGGTTTGCATAGGCAGCTAAGAAAGGATGCTCATTGGCCAGTTTTCATGATTACATCAATATTCCTACAATGTATGATTAGTTCTTTTGATTGTATTTGTAAAGTGAAGTCACAAAACCATTTTTTTTTTATTTCAAGTAATAATATTATTAAGTAATAATTCCTGTCTTCCCAAAATATGTCCCCTCCCCTTCCATCACTTATTTTACCTTAAGTTCTATTCCTTACATCCCTTCTCTAATGGTCTGTCACTTAACTTGTGATTTTTGACTACAATTTACCAACCAGCTAATATATTTTTTCATTGGCTTTGCGTCTTCATCATTATGACTTAATGAATATCTAATAATGACTTCTAATAAATATACTTAGTTCCGTGGATGATAATAAGCCAGTAACAAAAGATTGAAACTCCTTTCTAATTCATTATGTCAAAGCATTTTCAACTTGGGGGCAAAACAAAGAGTCCATTGTTTAACCCTCCAGATTGAACTAAAAAAAACTATACTTTATTCCATGAAAAAACTATAAAAAAAACTATACTTTATTCCATGAAATACAAGTGGCATATAAAATCTAAATAATTATTAATCTTTGAAATATATACTTGACTTGTATACTCTAACAAGCACTTTTCAAGTGTAAGAGAGAGATAAGACTTTGCAATGAACAACATGACAAGCATAATTGGAGTTATAAAAGGAATCTTTCCCATATTGTAGAATTTAGCTTTTGTCTGTCTATTCCTTCTTGCTCATCATATGAATTACATTAAAAATAGAGTGCACAAACAATAGCGAAACAAATAATACAAATAACTACTAAATAGTGTCRATTTAGGCAATATAAAACAAATAATTCAGCATCATTTAGGTCCTATTTTTTTCTCACATTGTATTTTATGGATTAAGCTAGCATGTACAGTCTATTAGACATAGTATAGGTACTGCTGGGTAAATGTATTAACTTAAACTACAAAATCTTACAACCTAATGGCCAATCCTGTATCTGGTCAATACAGCATTACTGCAGAACTTGTCTGCAACATCACCTAAAATCTCTGGGTCTGCGTCAGGATCTGGGGTTTGATTGAAATGCTGTGTGGCCCCCTTTGCTTTGGAAATGTTTTGATGCCCCATTTCTGACCCTTCTGTTATTTTGCATTGGCCTTTTAGAAGACATAGAAGAAATATGAACTTGTGGTCTACATTGATTTAATAAATTTGGATAAAGGATGTACAATGTTTGCCTGACACAGGATTGGCATAGTAAATAAAACTAATGATTAATTATAATATTATTAATCAATATATGCTCGATCTGACCTGCTTAATCAAGCCATGTGGTAAATAAGATTATCTTGAGCTTAAGCTACGTTACCGTAAAAAATCAAGTGAAGTTAACACTGCGATAAAAATTATTAATATTAATTAATAATTATTAATAAGTTTTTAAAAAGAAAGAATGACGAGTGACAATGAGTTCAGAGATAATACTTTAACAGTATATTTAAAACTTATTCAAAAATTTGTTCATCATATATTAATTTTATCTAGCTAGTATTACCTTCCATAAATTGTCGTATTGATTATTTAATTCTCCAATTATTAATTTGCCTTAGTCTCAAAGTATTCTGAATCACTGAAAATATACTTATTATCAGTCTCGTCTTTGCTTTAGAGTATATTATATTAATTTTGTTGTTGAATTGGTCAAAATTTTACAAACAGGTTTTTAGAAATGTGTCTTTTTTTTTCTTACATACAAAAATCTCAAAATTAAGTCAGTTGATTTAAACTTTTCGTTTTTACTTTAAATTATGCAGTCTTGAAGCTAAGCATGCATATTAGACTTCCACTGATAGATGTTAGGTTACTATAGTATCTGTTGTTTAACTTAAATATATGGATTTACATGGCATTACAGTAGCAGGGGGGTGCATTGGGTGTACAGGATCTCCATTAGTCCCATGGCACACACATCAAGTGGGGCGTCTAGTATCAAATCCCCTAGTGGTGAACCCCCCTGGAAAAAAACTGATAAGTCATTGCATTATTAGAGCCAGTTGTACCAAAAGGTAAAATAAAGTTTTCAGTTAAATACCTGGATTTGATTGTGAAATGAAAAATGACTATTTAATTGGTATTTCTTGGTAATGAACAAAAGAAATCAATAGACTATGAGTATTATACCAACTATTAGTCTCAGTAATCCTTCACAGACAGATTGAAATGACTATATCATGAGAATAAGGATTTATTTTATTCACCGATTGTACAACTGGCCCCAGATGAACACATTAGAACGATTTCACATAACCGGATAAAAAATGCTAATGAGGTTCAATTTATGCTAATACACATTACACGATGAGAATGGCTTGTATCAAGTTGTTGTCCATGTTTGCAAAAACTAGATACAAAAATGTTTTGATTTTTTTTTTTCGCTTACGAAGTGTTTTTCCTTAGTGTGCACGTTGGATGCTTGTAAAAGCAAACAAATGTTTTATTTGTGCAATTTTTGCTGCTTTTGTTGTCGTTTTGGACATGTTACAGATAAACAGAATTAACGTCAACACATATGTACGTCAAATAAGTAAAGCGTTCATCAATATCCTTGTTTTTCCCCGTTTAATATCGTGTAATGTGTATTAGCATAAATTGATTCTCATTAGCATTTTTTATCCGGTTAAGTGAAATCGTTCTATTATATTATATGTACTGTGTGTACTATAAGTCTACATGTATATTAACACATATACATACATATTGCCTATGCCATATATTTATAAGCAAACAACAGACACTTGTTTAAACATATTACTATTAGTTAGCTATTATCATCAGTAGCTGATCATGCATTTGTACAGAGGATTTTAACCAAGACATTTGTACACTTAATCTAAACACAAATAAACTACGCTTACACTAGCTACACGTATATCAACAAGCTGCATTCACAGATTATTATCAACACATTACAAAAATCACACTTATGCAAAAATAAACAACATTTGCTCTTTTTTTCTTTATCTTAGCAAAGAACCTTTTTGAAGGCTCTTTCAATGACCCCCAGTAATATTAGGGATTATAATTTGCGTCTGTAAATAGTTTTCACAAACATATTTTCCAATATTAAATGGATCTCATTATCCTTCTAATGTAGAAGAATTTGTAATGATGAGTGCTGGAGTCCAGAAACAAACTATGAAGTAGCCACAAGGCTAATACACTTTAGTAGTCTTGAATTCAATGTTTTTTGTGTGTGTATCTAGTGAATTATTCTTCCTGAACTACTAGATTTTATGGATTTATCATCTTCACTTTATGAAGTATTGAGTGATAAGATGTGATTCGTTTTCTATRATAATATTATATTAAATTATGAACTTCATTCTGTATTTAAGCCTTCCCCTCCCATTCTATAGTTAGAATAAATCGGCGCATGCATGTTTTTTAATGTCATKCACGTAATAATTTTAGTGATGCACTATGGTCATGCAGACAACAAGATTATTGTGTTTTACCATAGAAACAGTCTCTATAGCAACTGTTGTAAGTTAGTTGTATAGTTCTAAGCAACACCTGTGTATCTTTTGGCTAACATCCATGCCCATGGATACCGTAACCATAGTAACAATTTTTGTRGCCACAGTCAAGGAAACCATAGTAACCACTATATCTTTGGTAACTGTAGTAAGCACAATCATGGTAACCATGACAATGGTGTAAATATCAACAGTTATGTCACCATCTACCACTGTGACTGGCAATGTCCAATTGCCGTCTGCTGTAAGGCAAGGGGTTGTTGTTGAKGGGTGTRCAGTCTGYRTARCAAGGTTTGGGTGTGTTGACTGGCGATGGCGCTGAAACTGCAGGATTCTTTTTCAAATCTGGAAATCAAAAGATTATAATTGTACATGGCTACAAGTTGAAAGAGAAATTAAAAGAAATTCCATGCAAGTCCATGCAACGGGAGTTACTTTAAGTCATTTCTTTGTGTGTTTTTTTGCCGGGGATTCTTATTTTGTGTCCGTAATATCGAGGTGTCCGTAATATCGGGGTATTCGTACTAAGGAGGGAGTTGACCATACAAACTGAGCCTCTTGTCTTTGAATCTGAGTGTGAGCATATTTTCAAAAACGAAATATTTTATTTACGTTTAGAAAAAACTAGTGGGAAATGGGAYAGATGGGAATTTTCATTCATTCTTACCTGAAATGGCKATCAACAATTTCCGTCTAGCACCAAACGCTTTCACTCCAAGTTCTTTCAGGTCATCATCGGTGAGTGTCATGAACGTTTGCCAGTCAACCTGAGAAAAAAACACTTTCGTTAATTTCCGTGAAACGTGCGTTAATATAAAGAACTTGACCAATTTTCATGAATTTGCGTTTATAAAGCCTTTGCGTAAATTTTCGTGAACTTGCGTTAATAAAACTTAATATTACAAATCATCTATGCTTCATTTGGGTTTCGCGTTTATTGTACGTTGCATGTTAAAATACGTTTCACATTTGCGTTTTTCTATAATGTGACTGAAGTACGTAATACTTCAATTACGTAACGGGCTTCTACGGTTTGCATTACGTTTCATGCATGCGTTCTACGCAAGACTCCAAACGTTACAGGCATGTAACGTGTACCATGTGTTTCCTGATCACGATGTTTTACATGAATGCGCGTTTTACGTCAATTACGCAACTTATCATCGCCATGCATAACGTTAATTTCGCGTAAATMAAAAATCCGCAACATACAGATGGAGACGTCCTCACCTCTTGTTCATGGAATATTCTGTGATATTTCATAAGTCCAAGTTGTTCAAGAAGTCTTTCGAGTTCTGAAAGAAATCAAAAATTAAACTTTATATTATCTACCTTAGAACGCCTCCGGTTCGAGATTTTTTTACGCCTTTTTCGTGATCTCCAAATATTTCGCGTGGTTTATTTCACCAGGAACGCGCGAGAATGTTGCTTATCGCTTAATGATACGCTTTTACGACTTTTACTCCGACGAAGAATTAACGTCCGAAACGTCAGTAAATTACTTCTCCTACTTTTATCTTTTTACACAACTGAAAAGCTTTGTACTTGACTTTAAATTTAATCTCTATCAAGTTGAATTGATGGATGACTGAGTGATTGATTGATTGATATACAGACCTGATGATGATGGCACTGGTGAACATGGATAACTGTTTCGACGTTCACCAACTGTTAGGCTGAAGGTATTTGAACTGTCTAGATGACTTGATGTCTACAAAAAAAAGACAGTGTAAATTGTAAAGCATT